AAGGCTTAAAGTAGCAACAACGCTACACATAGAAACTGATGATGGTGGAAAACACCGAAACGTATTTTAATTGATAAATAGACAATAAATGACTGCCTAGGAATTTATTTTGATTTGTAATAATAAAAATAAAAATAAATACCCAACAAGCAGTTTGTATAAAAATCACCGTATATTTATGTTGCAGCGTTTGTTCAATCGCAAATGAGTTGAGTAAACTATAAATTTAGGACAACTTGCTCGAAACCATCAAGTCCAAATGCAAAATACTGAAGTTCTTGTAGAGTTTATAATTGTATTACTTAAATAACTTTAAAGTTCGGCCTGGCAGGCAAATTATGACTTACATTGTTTTAAAAATGTTTGAAATTGATTAGACTCTTTTTTTGTCAACCGCAGGTTGTTATTTGTGACTAAATGAAACAAATTCGGTCCGTTTCAAGTTTCAAATAAACTTTCTACAGGGTGGCAAATGAAACAATGCACAATTGAGGAAAGTTCCACATTATTTCAGTTGGACAAAAAAACGTTTGTTTTTGTATTTCAACACCACAGGCATTAAGAATAGTCCTCGTACCTTGAAAAACAATTTTCAATTATTACTCATCTCGTTTATTTATAGATTGATCCGAAAATTGATTTAAAAAATGTTACGACAACGTGAAAACAGAAAATTAGAAGCAATAGAAGATAAAGAAAATACTGGCTAAGGGACTTATTTTAAAAATAAGTTGATGTTGATAATGAAATCAGAAAATGTCATCAATTTGATTCTTGAAATTTAACTTTCTTCATCATATAAATATATTTAAAAAATATCATCTTCATTTAAGTTGTGAGCAAGTGAACAAAGCTTCTAAGGTTATACGACTTAAATATTCTGCTTAAGCCCTAGCAACAACTAAGGTTTAAATGATCCATCATCTAAGGTGCACTTTAACCATTAGATTAGTGTTGGTTCACTTTATTCAGAAGCACTTTAGGTTAAAATGATTCGTAGTTTGACTGGTGGAAATTGCTGGTATTGCCGTATTTAACATATTCTCGCTATTCCTCGTTTCGGTTCGCCTTATCTTTATTTCATTCAAATGACAAATGTTCCACGTCTTTGAGTGCATTCCAGAAGCATACACGTGATGCTTTCTAGATAATTCTCGCTTCTCTAGGAATGCTTGTTGCTTTTTTTATATAAATACAAAATCTGACTTCAGATAAAGATTTACGAATTATATGGGCTAATTACTAAGGCAGCGTATTATCGGCGTTGTATTTAATTTCTGGAAAAATATTGAAGTCTGAATCAAGACTACAAGGAAAAGTTTCGCAGACGCGGAAAACTTTTCAACCGATAAGGAGAAGCGATCGATTTTGGTTAAAAATCACTTTCCTTCAATAGATAGTAAAAATATATTTCCCGGTGGAGCTATTTTTAATATATAGTAAATCCTCTATTCTCAAAAATATAATTATTGAATTAATTTTTTTAATGACTAGCTAATTTTAAGCAAAGTGCAATATTTTTTCTGGCTCCAGCAGATTTATGCTTGGAAAATTCAGTGATTATTTCTCCACGCCATTCCTCTGAAACGCTTAAAGAGGAAGGTTCTGGGTGATCAAAAACAACCGATTAAAAAATATTGGGATACTGGGAACGGATATGGAACGGAGTTGGAATATTTTTTCTTTATATTAAAATATATTCTCTGGTATATTGGTTTTACTATCAAATAAATCAAATGCACATTTGCATTAATACTTAGATAATAGCGGTACGAAGTGTCTGATAAATTGCCAAACCTGCAAAAATTCCGATGAGAAACAACCCATGCTTGCCTTAATCTGAGAAAATATTGGGATACTGGGAACGGATAGTTGGATCATGGTTCAAAAACCCTCTTAAATTATGCAACAATTACTTTCTAGGCATTTCAACATAACTTTAGTCTACTGCAGTTGCTTAAATTTTCTAAAAAAATTACGGATTTCTTGGCGAAGCTGGTTGAAAACGAAACTTACCACATATTATGCAGGTTAGTTAGATGTTTGCATACGAGGCGTTGAAAGAAGTCGATATGAATAACTTATACGGATTGTATATACTCGATATGAACTTCGCATGTAGTCCTCTTCGAATATAAATAAGCATTAAATATTTAACTTTATGGAAACACACATGCACAAAGATAATTTAAATGAAAATAAAGGTCACAATTACAAATAAAATCAGCAAATTACTGGAATCGGCTAATTTAATTTTCTTTATTTTTTCAATGAACAAATACGTCTGATCGACTGATTCTCTTCGTCTTATTACCTAGTAAACAAACGTAAGTAGATAACGAAATAAATTGATTAATAAATGAATTAAAAATTACATTTTTTGATCAAATAAAACTTAACAAAGCCGAGTTGGAAACGAGGCCCAACAATAAAATGTATATTTTTAATGATTCACACAATCCTTCAATCTCAAACTTTCCCTTTCGTTCCTATTAAAAATAATGACTGGTATAAAAGCGCAATAAAATTGATTTTGTTTGTGGCATCAACGTAATTTTCCAGTAAGCAAGTAAAAGAAATCGACGCGTAAACGAAACCGTTCCAAAAATGATTTAGGAGTTTGGAAACCCGTTCTATTTATCTGTTATGACACCGCAGGATTAATCAGTAAACCTTGTAAATTGTATTCCAGCTTGGGGGGGTTTTATCGCAAGCTATGTTATATGTTATTTTCATGAAATAATGGATTAATTTAATGGATATTAGAGATACGAATGTCAGCAACAACACCGATTTCGAAAATGCTGACTTTTCGCTGAAAGGGATCTTAAGAGAGTCGGTCAACAGCCTTCGTTTTCAATGTAGAGACGCTGGGAAACTACAGAAAATAATACAGTCTCAGGCGCAAATAACTTTTTTCCCGTTGGATAATTATATAAATTGGAATGATTAGAAATGCCGACTTTTATCCAGTTCTATCTTCTAGAGTATGTGAATTGCTTTCATGCAGCTTAATCTTTATTGTAAATGGGTCAGTGTCGGAAAGACAAATAATACCCAAAATATAGATTTTGCAAAAAAATTTAAATGTGTATATTGTGTTGAACTCACTGACCATGTGGAAACAAACAAGAAATTATGCATGAGATTTTCCAAAAGCATTCAAGTTGCATTTGTAAATTGTAGAGCACTATAGCATTAAGATTATTACAGTTCTCTTCGCTGGTTAGTAAATTGCAAATTTGCGTTTTAATGTTTCTTGATAAATAGCCGAACCAAAAAAAAGGTTCACATAAGACTTTTTCTGCACTATTAAGATAGAACAATGTTTTTGGATGACTTACCATCATAGCTGAAATGTCTTCTGATGGTTTTGATACGTTCTTGATTACAGTTTCTGAGTCATAATTCTGCTAACTAAATCTGAAACAAAAATTACTTCTAAATGTTTTAAAATACTTCAAACTCATACTTAGCAAATATGAAAATGCCATTTGGAAATGTATTTTACAGACGTTTTGCAGAAAACGGTATTTTGAACACTTAATTTAATTGGATAACTGTTGTTCTATGTTCACATTGACTTAGTTTAATAGTAGAAAATTAAGTAATATAATTAAAGTTCATATTTTTTCTTACATTCCTTCATTCATTCTTTCTCATAACAGTAGATTTTAATTAGACGAGACATAATAAAATTAATATTTTCACCTAAGAAAACACAAACAGCTCTTTTAGACTGTTGTACAGCGAACATGCACAAAAATTTGTAAAATTACCATAATTACGCACATTAGTATATTGCAACAGAATTAACGAAAATGATCTTTATATATTAACGCCATTTCAACTTGATTTTAAAAACGCAGGCAAATTTGTAATAAAATACTAATTCAAAGTGCAATAGCACAAAAAACAAATTTTCATAGGAAAAACCCTAACCATAAATGCATTTGTAATTAGTACTTTTCCATTGTATTACCTTGTTTGGAAGACTACATTACTCTGTAAAGTAATAATTTGTTATGCGTACTTATCAATGCGCTAAATTTACTTTGATTTCATTGAACGGTAAAAAAATATTCTAAATTAAATTAACTCCAACAAAATCGAGACATTTAATATTTAATTTTAACAAACATTTAAATAATCAGTAAAAACAAAGGTGTTTTCTAGTGTAATACAGAATAACAAATTGACCAGGTAAGCATAGTTATAGAATCTGATTTCTTCTCAAAAACGAAGACTAATATTCACACAAAAAGTGATGAACGATTGAACATTTAAAAGCATTTTAACTTTATTAATTAGCATGAGTCTTTATTTATTCTGCGCTCTGCATTAACGCGTATTATCTTTAAATATACAAAATTCAGAAAGCAACGCATTAAAAAGTGGATTCTACAAGTGGAAGGTGACACGCTAGAAAAAAAATAAATTCGTACTAACAAACCTCTATATCAAAATGGGCTTCTTAACAACAATAAGTAGAGCTTCACAAGACATAAGAACTGGAATTTCTGTCGGAGAAATTAATATTGTTATCTCAAAAAGTAAATTAACACATTTGAACATTTATTGAACATAAAAATGAAAATTTAATTAAAAACTCATTCACTACCACATTTGAATGATAATACCCATATATACCCAAATTAAATAACACCAAATATACAATTTATCTGAAAATATTGTATAGGATTTACATTTCATACGAAAGTTGAGTTACCTCCGTTATTTAAAAAATAAATAATTTATTTTCAAGTACGATATTGGAAAAAACGTTGGCAGCTTACACTTTATAAGCGTCAGAAAAGTTGTCAGATGAAGCATCTCGGAAAAGTTACGAGGTTTGGAATATTCAATTATAAATTCAAAAAGATGAAACATTAAATGGAACTGAACGGAAAATAAAGTGACAGATATTCAGGGTTCCTCCGTGAGACGCCTCGAAGATTACGACAAAAACAATTTCCCTTAAGATAACTCGAAAAGCGGTAAAATTGTATTAGAGCTTTGTGGGCTGAGTCGTGTATAAAGCGGAAAATATGTTTCGTTTAATTTTTGATTAAATTTAGGCTCAGATTGGATTTTGTGACTGCCAAGAAAATATCAACTTTGGATAAGGTCGAAACGTAATTATTGCATATTGGCCAAGGCCATGTTTCTATACTACGATATTTCTTTTTGAGCCCAGCTTTTTAATACTTAACATAACAAAACGCAGACGCGTCAAACCGTTTGGAATACATACATGCATGTAAACTGGAACAGAACAAAGAAACAGGACTTTAACTCGCGGCACTAGAGCAACTTAAATGTGCTTTTTAAATAAATAAAAAATCAAAAAACACCGATAAATTCAAAAAGAGTAGACAAACCAGCAAAAATTTAATGCGAACTAGTCTCCAATTGCAGAAAAAAAATACCAGCTTGAGCTTGACGAACATTCATTCCGTGTAAGTTAGAATTAAAAAACATCATTAAATTTGTAGGGGTACAGTATTTACTCAAAGCTAATTGAAGTCTTAGGTATGTGTATACTTCTATAGAACATGAGATCAAAGGTTTGTTCAAAGGTTCAGGTCTTTGAAAACATCAACGAATTTTGCTAGATGAAAAGTTTAATTGAACATTCGCGTTAGTTAGGACTATAATTAAGGGTTTTACATGCCCTGCAAACTAAATTTCAAGACATGGCAGGCTTAAAAAGTGTATTCATGTTTAAAGTAAAATGTCCCTGAACGCTTTTCTAGCAGGCATAGATTAGTTTATACGTTCGGAATTAATTATAATTTAAAAATGTTTTCTATATATTGCGTGATAGTCAATGCATTTATTATTTTACTTCAAAATTTCTCCTATGGGTTAATTTTGTTTCATGTTTTTTTGCGGATAATTGTGTATTAACTCTACTCGTGACTGTTTGAATGAAGTTATCTAAATCAGAGCTAGAGTATTTTCATCACATACGTGCAACGTTGAAAAGTAGGTGTGTTTTACTTTTTATCGTTTAGAAACATTCGTGAAGATTCTTACCGTGTTAGCAGGTCGTTAACACATATTTTAGTAAAAGACGCAATAAGATTATTTCAGAATTTATTTTAAATTACGTCCGTTTCTTGCATGAACAACTATGTGAAATTAGCACAGGTATGAATATAGTTATGTGTTAGCTGGCTGATACAATTTTCTAACATCAGATCTTGCTTGAACCACACATACAGAGTGATTAATAAATGTTAGAAGACAATATAAAATAGATGTTTTGGTCCTAAATGTGTTTAAGAACCCAACAAAATGTAATGAAAGAAAATGCTAAAACAGGTTAGTGTTTAGAAGAGTTTAAACACATAGAACATTTAATATGTACATATTCTTCTTTATGCCCACGGGAAAAATTTAACTTGCCTGCCCAACGACTTTCACGTCTCGTTCTAAATTTAATTGACACTCAAAGCGCTTTATTCTTGTTCTTGTTGCGAGTTCATTATTATTTTCCACACTATTTAATTAAGAAATTGTGCGAATTTGCACGAATTAATTTGTTCCAATGATTCTTAATCGCAAAGAATATTTTTAAAATTAAATGAATTACGGAATTGCAAAAAGCATATCCAATTGATTGGATTGGAAGTTGGGTTGTACTCAACTGTATGAAACGTGTTTTTCTTTATGAAAAAAGTATATGTATATTAAGTAAATATTAATAAAAAAAATAAGTTTTTTTATTTAATTTAAAAAAATTAAAACATTGTTTTCATTTGTGGTTCTAAAAAAATTGTYGTTCCCCAAATCTGATWAAAAAAAATATTTCGAATTATCATACATAAAATTATATTCAATTAGRTTCTGTGTAATTTAATAAATACACTTTATATGAGTTTATATGAGTATWTGAGTTCTCTCTTGATCAGCCAGTTGTAGTTAAATWTAGTGCTGAAAATCTATGTGCCATCCATCCAAAACAGGATATTTCAAAGAAAACTGTAGTAAAATATCTGTAAGAGAAAACAATTTTGTAGACGTAGAAAAACATAAACAATTAGTCTGCTAGCATCGCTGAGAAAAAAATGAAATCACTGATTCTCTGCTAAATATGACACTTCCAATGGACAATCTAATATCAAATTAAAATAGTAAAGCACAAGTGGACGAAGTGAAAAAGAAACTAAAAGCCACAATACAGACAAAAAAGCGAGTAAATATGATATAGAAACAAAACACGCAATAGAACAAATACGTTAAGTAATTTTCAACCAGTGATCCGCGACATATAATAACGGTGTTTGCTTGTTTGTGTGTGATATTCCTCTTCCAAAAATGCCTATAACGCAATTTTAAATGTATTTGGCTTATACTAAAAAAATACTTGTAGTACATTAAAAATATTATATTGGGAAGTGAAAAAAAAMTTGTTTTTAGAGTMTGTTGCGATTAAATTGGAAAATTATTTTCATAAAATKTATTTAACCCTTAACTAGTATCGTCTTTTCCAGARCYCAGAATKGTATTCTGGGGTCWAATTAGWCCMTAARCAAAAATTCAGTTTCATCATGCATAAACTTTTGTTTATGCATGATAAAAAAGTTTATTTTTTTATATCTCTAGTCACATACAAACGTAGGCTGAGAATATTTGATTAAAAAACAAAACTTAATTAAAAGAAAAGTAATGCAAACATGGTAAAAAATAGAAACGAAAAATCTTAATCTCCATAAAATGTGGCACAAAGCAAGCCGATCCAACTGTACCGTGATTTACATTAATTTTTATAAGGCCTATTAATCGCTGAAGTCACTGAAATATTAGAAATTTGTGTTTGGACCATGGACAAAAAGCACATCTCACTGAGAGATGAGACACAAGGGCATATTTAGAAGCCATTAAACTAAAAACAACTGATAACAAAGTTGATGAGTACCTACTTTGTAGAATTTCATTGATCTGGCATAATCTGAAAAGTGCAATAGTGAATCAAATAAATTAAAGTCTTGTAACAGATTAATAAAACCCGAGCGTACATCAACATTTTTTTTGGTTTTAAAGATACTTGTTTTTTGAATAAACAGGAAAGTTACTTACTGCACTTTTAATAAATCTTTTAAAACACAAACAAAAACCAGGGAACAATAAACAATGATTTATTTTTGCAAGGCTGTCTGGAAATGTCATCAAACATGGAAAGGTCTTAAAAATTCGTGATTAAAGCAGGATATGGTTTTATTGCAGGTTTATCATTAAACAGAACAGTCAATGACAACAAATTTGGAAATATCCAAAAACCATAGCCATTTCTCTCGATTTACGAGAGCGAATAAAGCCAATTATGTTGTTTCTTAACGCTTTTTTAATTCACAAATAATGTGTATTGCTATAAAGACTTTTTTGTTCTCGTTCTTTTTGTTTGTCGTAAAAAAATA